CTTGTTACTAGATTTGCATTTCTCTAGTCATTTAGTGGCAACCCTTTTTTTTTTTTTTTTTTTTTTTTTTTTTTTTTTTTTAAGAGGGGGAATGCGTTACGCATACCGGGTGCCTCGGGGAAAGCTACTCCGGTTATGTGGGACTCTCTCCACATCCCTAAAGGGACAAGGAGCCTACCCACTAAACCCCCTCTGGTTCCCTCGTCTCACTGTTTACCGGGGTGTGGGCACATGTGAAATACTCTTCGCACACATTAGTGGCAACCCTAGCATGGTACTTTCATAGCTGCTGGCTATAGAGCGAAGGTGACGTACTGTCGATTGCCGAGGTAAAAGGTGACACAGTTTATAGTCTAATTGAAATGGCTGAATTCAACTACATCATTGCTTTCTTATCCATTTAAATACCAGCTTTCGAGCGCGACTCCATCCGCGCGAAAGCAAAAAAACGTTAATTAGCAGAGTATCTGTTCTTCCAGACTATGCTCTACATCTGTGCCAAAATTAAGTTCCTTTAAGCCATTCCGAAGACATAAACTATCACATCCAACTTCTTACTAATATAATAAATGCTAATATTTGGATGGATAGAGTGCGAAGTTATCTTCAGAACGGCTGAACAGATAGCAATGAAATTTGGCATACATATTGAACATAGTCTGCAAGAACATAGGCTACTAAATAATTTTATTTTTAATTCCGCACGGACGGAGTCGCGGCCGATAGCTAGTTTATAAAATTAGTTAGTCTTAAACCTCTTGTTACATTTACCGTATTTGATACTCTCTGACCAATTACAAGTCACGGTGTCATAATCCATCTGACATGCACACAACTGGTCCGGACAGTTACATCGGCACGTGTAGTTGTCCGTTAGACCATAGCATCGATAATTGTACGGAAAGGTCACTTGTGTTCCGGTTTAAATTATCAGATTTTGCGATACCGTACAATTCCAATGACCGAAATGTATATTCCATAACATTATAGCACGTACTGTCCTTTTATTACCGTTGGACCGATTGGCCAATGCGAAACACCGACCTTTGACTAAATTATGATCGTAACTGTAGCTTAAAAGACTTGGCAGATTCTGATGAGTGTGATGTCATTAGATTTGTATTGTTTCCCACTGTAAGTCGGGAGATTTTTTTTAACACCCAAAGATCCTACGAGTCTCAGAGCGTACCCAAATTTAGGGATGACTAGGACAATTACTACCAGTAAATTACTATATTGTTTTGTGTGACAAAAGGCTAACTTTCAGTAGTCTATCATTGGTCATATAACGAGTAGGATTAATCAAAAGATCGATGTTACATTAGTTACAGACGCGAACGCACTGTCCCGTTAGCAACCGGTCCGGGGCATTCCTGGCGTGCTCCGCCTCGTACCCAACTCTCATTGTTACAGTACTAATCTTACTAATATTATAAATGCGAATGTTTGGATGGATGGATAGAAATTCTGCATAGATGTTGAACATGGTCTGGAAGAACACAAAGGTTACTATTTTTTTTTAACCTCGGGCGGAGTCGAGGGACAGCTAGTGTTGCATATGTAAGCTGCATCAACTGCAGTTAGCCAAAGATGGCAACACCAACCAGTTTTAACAGTGGTGGAGTGGGACCGTGTGATTAATCGTTTGTCGAGACTTCGGCAAGGGGGCTGTCTCTTTTCACTTTCGCCATTAAAAAAAATCGTGTCGAAACTGCATTCCTTTGCGACATTATCGGACATGGATGCAACAATAAACTGGTTTATGGGTTTGTTAAATTTTATTTTTAATAAACCAGTTTATTCGGAAGGGAATTTTTAAGGTACCGTGATATGAAATCAATATGATTTTCAGGGATTCGTACCTCGAAAGAAAAAAAGGAACCCTTATAGGATCACTTTTCCGTCCGTCTGTCTGTCTGACACCCTTTTTCCCCCGAACGCGTTAAGGGATCAACCTGGAATTTATTTACTAGCTGTCGCTCGCGACGCCGTCCACGCGGAATAAAAAAAAGACTTAGTAGCCTATGTTTTCTTCCAGACTATGTTTCACATGCAAATTTTCAGTGAGATCCATGCAGCCGTTCTGGAGATACTATCTAACAAACATCCATCCATCCATTTGGCATTCGCTATCTTAGTAATATGAACTGATTCTAACAACCTTGTAACCTAAACCATATTTAGGATGGAGGATGAAGTTTTTTAACTAAAGAAGACTAACTTAGAAGGCTATATTAGCTAAACAACAGTTTAAAAAAAATGGCTAAAAAATCTATCTATGCAAAGTTAACTGCGTCATTTATGTAATGAATTTCATGTTTCAAACGTTTCTTAATTGTAATTATACAAAGTAGGAAAAAGACAAGGCGCCGTAAAAGTGTTGCAGACGTATTTAGTTCCGCAAATTTCACGGCCCCTGACTTTTGAAGACGGCGAGAAAACGATGTTCAAAATTAAAAAAAAAACTCTGTGCAACTTGTAATAAATTTTTAATATTTTTAAGGAATATCAGTTGTCTGTTTTCACTTTCGTCTAAACATCTCTTTTATCTGACTTCTTACTAACATTGTAAATGCGAATGTTTAGATAAATGGATGGTTTAAAGGTATCTCCAAAACGACTGCATGGATCTCGCTGAAATTTGAATATAATCTAGAAGAACTTATAGGCTACTAATTAAGTTTTAATACCGTGCAGACGAAGTCGCAGGGTCAGCTCGTTTACGATATTTTCTGCACCCATACATAATATGCACCAAGGCTACTTGTAACCGTGGGATTACACTACTGAAATCATCCTATAGTCCATGTCAGACTTACGTAGAGTCGGTGCTTAATCACGAAAACCCAGTACAGAATTATGACAATTAATTTTGTACCAATATGTTGGCAAAGTTCACTTTATAAAAACAAATGAATAGTAATTGTTACCGATGTTCCGTACACAAAGGTCGAATGTTTTAAACTCATTTAATCCATATCGATTCAGTCTAGACTTTAGGTCTTACGAAATGGTTTTACGACGGCGTGGGTGGATGTAAAACTCCAATAAATATCTAGTCAACATTGTACTATGCTTCTAAAACTAAAATTATTTGCATAACCGTTAAATACACTTAGAATTAATTGAAGTAACCATTAGATATATGTAGATGGTTAATTTCATTCGCTTCGTCTGATGAATTTACTTATCAGTCTTAGCCTTTTTCAGTACCTTGCTGGATAATGCTTGACACAATATACAGTCCTCCCGACCAAGCAGTAACTTCATGCCGTTCTCACTAAATGGCTAGGCGATTGCTTACAAATGACAGCTTTTGCTTAGTTCGGATTTAAGCACGCATGTTTATGTTGCATGACAAATAATTCTATGTATATTAGTTTGAATCCACACCATCGCTACCATCAACGCCAAAATGGTGAAAATCAAATAGGCACAAAGTACTATGTCTTATAGCCATTCATCAGACAAGTCACAAGGCCATCGAACTATCTATATTTATGGTCAATTTTCGTCTGTCTAACTAGACGATGTCAGTTACAGCATTTTGCATAGATCTATTATATATAACAATTGCTATGAATAACGGGCGTTCGCGGTCAAAGTTTGATATGAATTGGATTGCTTCATAAAAAATAACGTATTTTAATATAAAACAATGGATGCGTCTTGAGAAATTAAACGTTCGCACGATAACGAATTGTTATTGTTTCCGAAAGTATTACCCGTTGGTTAACCACAGACGATCCGGTTCTGGTCGAGGTCATAATTTGACATTGTTGGTGGCTTTAAAATGTACTTCTCATTCATAAAATTTAAAGGAAACTAGTATAATTTGAAAACATTTTAGTAGTTAGTACTTAGTATTGTAGTAATTCAGTCGTTTTTGGGACATTTTATTTAAGTCTGGACTTTTGATCGTTGCTTGTGTGTATAGCAAAGGATGGGAAAAAGTTGCTGGCGTCTGACTTTACGTCCAAGTATGTGGGAGCCAAGAGTAGAGTGTATATTCATTTACTAAGCTAGCGCGTATCATCTCTTGACCACATCATCACTTAACATCAGGTGGGATCGTGTTCAAGCGTTAGCTTATTTTTAGGGTTCCGTATCTCATAGGAAAAAGACGAAACCCTTATAGGATCTCTTAGTTTTTAACTGGATTTGCGTTTTTGAATCAGTTTTGTACTTATACATATATATATGTGATTCACAACAATTTTTGTTACAATTCTTAACCATAAAGATGGCATTGTAACTAAGGAAATTACTAAAGAAGTGATAACGTCATCTTCCAAGAATTGTCCGGTCAAATGTCCAGCATCTGATCCGGGGACTGGTTTGTTTTTTCATTTGTAATGTGAGTAACATCGATAGAGTTCTCTGACCTTAACGAAATGTTCGCTAACTCAAGATCGGGTTTCACGCACTTTTATATCGTTTGAAATAACCGCGAAGAATTCAGCATTCTGATATAAATATATCTTATATAGACCATTCTTTACTTATATATATGTTGGTTAAGAGTTCGGTTATTAACTCAACATAACGGCTGTATACAGGATGTTCTTTTTTCGGTACGGTTACAGTCCCTTTACGGTTAAACTCAGTCCTACCGAAGTTAAAGGGATGTCGTCATCAATCATCTGGTTGATGTGATTTTGTTATTTTTCTTCTATTCATTTTCACGAACAAGATATAAAGCTGTTGAACACACTGTTGTTTCGTAATCTGAGAATCATTAGTGATATCTTGTAAATATTTACCTTCCATTATCCAGTAGGTCAGTGAAGCAAGAGTAGGCCTTCAAGATTACACACTTAGACGACGCTTAGTGACATTTATTTATCATCGTTACAACGTATATACATTATGAACGGAGTGACTGAAATGACATATTGATCTGAAAGACGACGACCTGGTGCGCCAATGAGATGAATAATGACAGGGAAATGATTAATTAAAAATAAATGTCACATATTTAATCTGAACTAAGACATTCACTTAGTAGTCATTTAACGACTGAGTTGTTGTTTAACATAAAATTAAAAGACTTGAAGGATATAGGCTGAATTTTAATATGTTGAATAATCCGTTACATTAAACATTAACGGATGCATCTATATCCTGTGTGTTATATTCATTATGAAAATCATCCTTAGATCTGGTAGGACAAACCTTACGTAGACATTGACAATTCCTTTGCATTTTTATCTTCTCTCCACCTTTACGTAATTCATTATTGTATTTGTGCAAAGTATTGAAGAAATTTATTACATTAAATGCCTGCGAAAAATGTATTGGAATTTTATATATCACAAACTAGACGAATAAAGCATGAATGGATTTTTTTGTGACTGAGTAGTCACTGTTTGCCTTGAAGAGGCATTTACAGCTTCACCGGGCTTGAGATGGCCGAGCGCAGATGGCGCTTAGCCTGAACCTTTCAGAGTAACAAGACTCGAGGGCTCCCTCAGGAGCCTGGGCTCGGGCTGTTACTTCGTTATTGTTACCGGATTGGGAGGTCACTGAGCTCTTAGATCACTTAGGTGGACGCTCCGTGGACGTTATTATTATTATGATGTTTCGGTCTGTTTTGGATTATTTATGGTGGTATAGATCTTAAAACCCTTGTTCCACTAATCCACTAGGCGTTGGCAGCCGCGTCCTTTTTGCGTAGCAGTTTAAGATCGAACAAGCAAGTGATTTAGAAATTGTAGTTGTCAGTGGCAGGTTTAGTGGAAATGAGACCTAATATGCTCGTTTTATACTACACTCATTTATATTACGTTACTAGATTCGTATATTTCCTACTTGCATTTCTATATACAAATTCTAATAAATATTGTTTACTCTTTCATCCCTTATAAAAATATTGAGATAGCAATGTTTTAGTGCGAATTCTGAATATACTCACATCATCTCTATATCTTGATATATCTTCAGAACCATGCCCGGATCTCCTCCAGTCACATTTCCAATCTTTGCATATACAGGCTGTTTTATATTTGAAATCGTACATTTTTTCCTTTTTGTTTTCTTTTTTCTTTACATTGTGTTTTAATTTAATTGTGTATTTGTATGAGAATGATTGTTTCGCTTGTCTTGTTGACAAGAACTTTTTGATTTCATGATCATCCTGTAAAAAAGTAAAGGAAATCAAAGAAGTGCAGGCCCTATGAACATTTAAATATCATAAAAAAATCATATTGAACTTTAATTCAAATAAAAGTACATAAATCTTTTTTTTTGTTAAATGTAATTTTTTTTATTATCCGTTAACACGTAAACTACCACCGAATCGCTCTTTAGTTCACTTAACGTGTGACATTAAACGTATTAATGAAACATCCTTTGTCTTACCCAGTCTTTTTTATTTGCTTCTTCTGTGAATCGCGAATCTATGCCCGTAAGCGGAATATCAACGATCGTTCGTCGTGATTGCTGAAAACATTTAATTATTTTAAAATAAGGAAATAAATTTGAAATATATTTTTTTAACTTAAACTCACCTCTGAAGTTATTATAGATGCGGCGATCAACAATAAAAACGTTATGTTCAACATTTTTAATAAAACTAAAAACATAAATTGTTATTTTTTACAACAAACTCAAAACAATAAAAGCGAAAGTTTACACGGTTAGATGTTAGAATTTATCGTAATAACGACTGTATGGATCTAGATGAAATTTAGCATAGATGTAGAACATATACTGGAACTGGAATAAGACAGGCTACTAAGTTTTTTTTTTAATTCAGCGCGGAGTCGCAAGCGCCAGCTAGCAATAAATATTTTTACTTACTTTCAATGTTAGGAACGTCTAACGACTTACCACATCTATGGCTAAAGACATAATGAAACGATTAAAATACAAGCATTGATAATAAGTTAATTTATACGTATACATGGTGTACTTTTTAATTGATTGTGTTTTTTTAATTGGCAATTTTTTCTATAGATGTTAGCGAATATTTTTTTATAAGTAATATTTGCAATCGCCGCAATTTCCCTAAGAAAAGGTCCTAAGGTTTAAAAATAAGATGATTTATTCCATCCTATTCGTATTCTTCATTACTGAAGGTCATGCTTGATATTCTTTAACGGCTGTGTCGACCAGCTGCCTTCACGCCGTCCTGTCTTCGACTTGTCTCAGGGAAGATGATGTCTTACAAACTTAATATTCGTCCTTCCTACTAATGCTGACCCTGACTGAACTGAATTTGTCATACAGATATGACGAGTTAATGGGTACATAAACAAGAAAATAATTGGATTGAATTGTTAGAAAACTAAGCCAAAGCATGACTTTTGATAGAGGATACTGTCGATCCTCTGTAGGGAAAAGGGTAGGCTGACAAATACAGAGACCTAGGGGGTCTAGAACATATGTGTCACAAACCTAGGTCTCTGTAAGTCTTTTTGTACTCTACTAACTTCGTCCTGTAATTATATTTAAGTCCAAAGAGTTTAAAACTTTGAGAACCTCTTTGTATTCAGCAATGGATCAGTTTTAATTAGAAAAGAACATCGTCGGCCGTTCCCACGTGCCAGTCGAGGCGAACACAATTTTTCAATTAAAACTCTCATTCGTTTGGCAGTTGTTTGAAGTAATTGCTTCCTAGTCTAATATTTGAAATCGTTACGCTTCAAATATTTACAACCCTAATAGTTTGAAGCTCATATTACATAGCGGCTTTTATTCAAAACTAGCAGTTGCCCGCGAATTATAAAATAGACTAATTGATCCGAGGATAGTGTGGCTTCGAAACAGGGAAAGAATTATTCAATTCGGTTTTGTAGTTTCTTCCGTTTAAGCTACTTTATACTATCCTTATAAAGGTTTTGGTCCTTCATAAACGGATAAAAAGTGTTAGTCACCAATTTTGCGTCCCGGAGGCCTAATTTAGTCCTCTTTCCCTTCCCACCCTTTTTCTTATAAGTGGGAAGTGGAAGTGGACTTTCCAGATGAGAGGATGCATGGGAAGGGAAAATATTTTCTTTGTGTGCATCCTCTCTTCCGTCGATTGAAGGTGGGCAACGCATATGCAATTGCGTATGTCTATGGGCAACGGTCACTTCGCTATTTTAGCGATTTCAGGTCACCGCTCGCTCGTTTGCCACCTTATGATATAAAAAAAAATGTAAAACTATCTTGAAAATTGGTAAAAAAGACTCAGTAATTCCAGTATTCCAAAGACCAAATGAATATAGTGTCCTTGATCTTTTAAAAATCTTTATATTATCGATTGTTTTGATATCATGGCAACAAATGTTTACTTTTAAAATTTATCAGCTGACGTAACAAGGTCGTAGAAATTGTAATCAGCAATTAAAATATTACATGTAAAATAATTTCAATTTTGATTATCGGATAAATATTATATTTCTATTTTTATATACCTAAATGCATTATTGCAATTACGAAGCAATATATTTCTTGGAAACATTTTTAAGTAGAGATTCAGCAGTTATTATTTATGAGTAATGTCGCGTTTACATTATACCAGTACAGTCGGACAATAGCGCTGGCTTGACATGGAATGTTTTGGCTCACTGCTGCTAATGTTTGCATTGCGCCTGTTGTACTGGCATAATATAAACCAGATTTAAAATCTAATTTCTCTTATAAACAAAAGAACTTCAGTAATGTGTTTTCACTGCAGAAACAAATGCAAGAGAACATTTTGTTATCTCTGTTTATTACTTAGGAAGTGAAAGGGATGACAACATATTGTGTACAGTGTTGGTGAAAACTCATATTAAATCGATATAAATCTTACTTCTTTCTAATATTATAAATGAGAATGTTTGTTAGAAAGTATCTTCAGAAAGGCTGCATGGATATCGCTGAAATTTGGCATAGGTATAGAAAACACATAGGCTACTAAGATTTTTTATCCCGCGGGCGGAGCTGCGGGCCACAGCTAGTAAATTATAATGCATTGTAATGTGTTAAGCATAAGTGAAGAAGCAATTGGTAATGGGCGGTCGTAAAAAGGAAATCTTGACGTGTCTGCAGACAATGCATTATATCTGTTCATTTCTTGATTTATGCTCGTGAGAAATACTGTTTTTTTTTCTTATCTTTACTGATACATAGTTTGATTTAAGAAATTATCCAAAAATGATAACTTTTACAGTCATATAGTAAACAAAATCAGGATAAACTAGACAAGACTCGTAAAAATATGTATCTTATAGCTGTGACCCGCAACTCCTTCCGCGTGAAATTATTATAAAAAAAAAGTTAGTAGTCTATGTGTTCTTCCAGACAATGTTCTACATCTATGTCAAATTTCAGCGACAATCATGCAGTCGTTCTGAAGATACATTTTAACAAACATTGGATGGATGGATTGGATTCTTATTATTAAGATATAAGTCCCCTTACTTTTATGTTTTATGATCCAAATAATTACAACGCATATGAGAAAATTCAAAATATTGAACACAATATAGACTGACAAAGATATTTGACCCGGTAGACATAAATCAAACTATATTAGCACACTAGTCCCGGTAAATGAAAAAAAATGTCACAAGATTCTTATCGTACTTTTTTTTAGCTGTCATTTTATAAATACATATGTTATATGATTGTTAATCATTAAAATAATCACTTGATAAGTACATAATGCACCAAAATGATATCACAATAATTGTCGTTAAATTGCACAATCTTTTACCAACATCCGGTAACAAATGTCACTAACAACGCTTCACAAGACATAATACGTGGACGAGTTTCAAAAATACGAAAGGCCTTCATTGTGACTGTGTGCGGAGTTTAAGCGTATCTTATATTTATTATTTACAGACTCCATATTCAAACAGTAAAAATCCTTACTCCATAATTTCAAGAACTGAAGAGTTTCGTAAAAGCCAAACATTCATCATCATCAGCTCACTATACGTCCCCACCGAGGGGCTCAGAGCCTACCCTCAGTTGAGGGTGATTAGGCCATAGTCTACCACGCTGACCTAATTCGGGTTGGTTGACTTTATATATCTTTGAATTTCTTCGCAGATATGTGCAGGTTGCATCACGATGTTTTCCTTCACCGTAAGAACGTCGGATAAATGTACATATGTAAATCGGAAATCGAAAAACACATTGGTACGTTGCGGGATTCGAACCCAGGACTTGCAGATTGCAAGTCAAGTGCTTGACCCCTGAGCCACCGACGCTCAATAGTTATTATTTACTAGTCTGAAACTCCGTCAGTGCGGAATTAAAAAATAAAGTTATAAAGTTGTCTATGTATCCTTCCCGACTATGTTCTATATCTATGCCAAATTTCAGCGAGATCCATACAGCTGTTCTGTAGATACCTTCTAATAAACATCCAAACATTCGCTTTTATAATATTCGTAGGATTAGGCTGAAATTTGCGATATTTGAAATGGATTAATAAATATTTCAACCAACAAGTACGGTTGGAATAATCAGTTCAAAAATAAAATACTGATTTTATACAACAAATATATAAAGGAGATAATATTATAAAATAAACACGATTCAACGACGATTCTTGTCCTGACTTACTATACAAATATCTCTTAGATTTTCTTATAATTATAAAATATATAAAGGTAGTAAAAATTTGACACAACCCATATCGGTGAATCGCTCGCAGCTGCGCCCTACAACATTGTGGCAAAAATTCCCACGACTGAGGTGAGGTTTTGACAAGACTTGACCTTGGACAGTCGTGCGAACAAGTCGCCACCCCAAACTGTTGTTCTTTTATAACAAAACCTGTTTTGCGACCTGTACACAACTTTGATAGAACATAATGACTTTAGATAGCTAAATAAAGATGGTTATATTAATCATCCTGTAGCTTTAATAAATCGAACAATTTTTTTTATTGTTTATGATATAAACAAATTAACAACTTGTTTTTATTAATAAAAACTTTGATATGAAAAAAAATGATTCTCTTAAACCACATTTGATAAACAAGGTTGGGTCATCTTTTATGCCAAAACAAGTTGTAGCCAAAACCTTCGCATCTTATATTCAAGAAGTGCGTAGTTAGTTAAATAACCAAAATGCGGCAAACACGTATAAGGTCAAAGTAGCTCGCATCCTTGTGTTAATATTAAATAACTTATGCTTAGTTAAGTTACTACTGTATACAAAAAAAAACATGTTAATAATATCGTAGTCTGCATGAATAAATAAGCAATAGGAAATTAAAAAAAATAATAACATTCTGAAGTAAAGATGTCATTTAAATTTGTAAAATCGTTTAGGCTACATATATGTACAGTCAACTGCATAAATATGTATACACTTTAAAACTAGAAACTTGGATAAATCATCATTGTTAAAAATACGTCGAATTTGTCAATAACATGTAATTATGTGGAGTGGTGGAGCGTCGGTGGCCGCAGGTTCTGGATTCGAATCCCACCATGTACTAGTGTGTTTTTCGATTTACATATATACATTTATCCGACGTTCTTACGATGTAGGAAAACATCGTGATGCAAAATGCACATATCTGAGAAGAAATTTAAAGATATGTGTGAAGTCAACCAACCCGCATTGGGCCAGCGTGGTTGACTCTGGTCTAATCACCCTTAACTTAGGCTAGGCTCCGAGCCCCTCTTTGGGGACGTATAGTGAGCTGATGTAATCATATTATAGTATTTTTAAAATCGAAGTCGTACGCAAATTTTTGAAGCTTTGAAAATGTATGCATAATAATGAAGCTGACTGTACATTTTTGGCACTAAGACGGGCAATAGCGAATAATTGGGAACATAGTTTACATAACAATTGATCTACAGTATGTTACTAAATAAATTAGATAAACCACAATATTTCTCTACAGTCTT